AACGGACGCTCTGGATCCCTAGAAAAAAAACAATTTGCTAGCATTTTCCACCACTAACCAGCCTCCCAAAAAGCTTCCACCAACAGCCTGCCAAAAGCTTTCCAGCCTCCCAAAAGCATCTGAAACCACCCCTTCGCCACGGCTTTAACCCATTGAGTTCTGCTCCAAACGATTGAGTTCTGGCGGATCTATCATTATTCCCTGGCGCGCTCCCCCTTGCGTCGGCCGGGGTCGGCGGATACTGACCGTTACTGACCAAAGTGCAGGAAAAAAGCCCCGTTTTTCTAGCCGTTTCCCATGCTGAGCAGGTTGGAAAGGCCAAGCACAACGCTTGGGCGGTCTCGTATTTTTATGCATATGTTTGTTGAGAACTGAATTGGAAGCATTGGCTGAGGAAAGGGGAAGTGGGATGACGAGCCCCCCATGATGAAGGGAAAAGGAAAGGGGAAGGCGTGGAACGGGTTCCGCGGAGCGTGACGGGCGCGGATCTCGCGGAGTGTGGCCGCGTGCGACCCGGTGGAGATGTAGTGGATACCAGAGGTGGAGCTGCGAATATCGTGCCTGGTGCCTGGAGGTGTGGAGATGTGGATGCCAGATGCAGTGGATGGAGCCCTGAAATCAACAGATCCATCCGATTGGCAGTCCAGTCCCAGACAGGAATGTTACCATTGAACCCTGAGGGTCACCGGGGCCGATGCCAGCGCTACCCGCGCTGCTCCACGCGGCCAAGCGAGCGATACGAAGCACCGCGCGCAGGGAATGAAGGGGAAGGACATGATGGAGAAAGGCCACCGGGCGAAGTTCGATGGCACATTTTCCATGCAGAAAACCTAGCAAGTAGCACAGAAATCACTAAGAACATCTATAAGAACAGATTCGAGTTAACAATTTAACACGAATTCGAGTGGTCCAAGGCTGCTAGCCAATCCCTTGGCCCTTGATACCTCAAAACCTGGAGATTGCTTCGACCCCAGACCCCTCTATAGTATGAGGGTCCGATCCCTCCATATCCCTCCATATGAGGGCCCAGGGGAAGGTTTCTCATGTTGTTCCAATTGATCGAGTTTGGATGGTCTCTGGGGAGCCAACGGACAAATTGAGGACCTGATTTTAGCCGATGAGGATCATCCAAAAGATATCCCAGACCAGGCCATGGGACTGGAATACTTGCATACATTGGCCACATCAATGGGGTATGTAAATGCAAAGCAACGATTCCATTGGCATAGATCTGGTAACCAGTGGTTCCACTTCGACTTGGCAGCCATAGATCTCGAAACCTCCAGCTCAGCAGCTCTTTTTATAATGTATAGCTGCCCGGGATTGACTGGCATTTGCATCTTGGCCCCGAAGCCCGTGGCGGGTGATACTCTCACTACAGTAGCTCCTGGGAACATTCGATGGATTCTTTATTGGAAAATGCTCCATGTGTCCATTCAATGGACCAGAGTTGGATTTAACACACATCGTACCCCCAGCCTTTCAAGATTGAAAGAATCATTGACCCTGTTGTAGTAAAAAGTCCTTCGTAGCACAATCCTTATGTTGGCAAAATCCCATTCAATCAATGATGGCTGGATCTTGGAGGCTGATACAGGGATATAAATATATCATATATAAAGTCAAGTCAATGCTTCAGAGAATCCCGTCCCACACCCTCCAGCCTCTGGCTTCCTCTCCCTTGGTTTGTCTAAGGCAAGGGAAAGGGAAAGGCCATGAAGGGCAAGGGCAAGGGCCACGGCCCCAGACCCGCCGATCAGTTGGGGTGGTTGATTTGGGTGGTTGATGTGGCGTTTTTTCATCAATGAATCACCAGGGACCTTCCGAACGAAGCCCGGTGGGCAGAAGGCCACACCGCTGAACAAAAATCACTTCTATAGAAATGAGGTGAGCTAGGCCAATGTATAGGGCGGCATGCGGTTTTTTTTTTACACGGACATCCAGAGATCCTCCACACATCCAGGAAAGTATGATGACATCGATGACTACGACTACCCTCCCATGAAGGGAAAGGGAAAGGGTAAGGGCAAAGGCCGGGGCTGACCCGCAACGCGCGCTGTTCCGTCGCGCCACGCGCTCTGTTCCTCGCGCCCCCCGCGCTTGTGGCGCGCGCGGTGCGCGGCGTCGGGCCCGACGTGGTCGCGTCTACGTGGTTCGGACCTCGCGCCGAAGGGTCCGTTCGGCCGGCGAGGCGACGTATGGCGAGGCGTTTTTCTGGGCCCGCGGAATCCCCCCAAAAGCGGTGGTAATTTTTGGTTCCTCAAATCCTCAGATGCTGAGAACTATAATGGATTTTGCTGGTCACAGATGTCTGACAGATGCTTCACACTACCAAAAAACGATCCACCGAAACTGGCGACTTGCGCGGTACGTGTGCTTGCAGCTTGAAGCGGGCTAAAGGCGTATTGCAGGTGAAAGTCAACAAAAGAAATTGGCATCAATGACATGCAAGCACAGACCGGGGTACTGTACTTGACTGACCACAGATTGTTATAGATCTGTGACTTATATAAGTGCTTAGAATCCACCCAAGGACACTTGCCGCAACAGATATTGGTGCGGAGCTCCGTTGTGACATATATGGTGCGGCCAGACCTTCACTGGCGGCAACCGCCCTCGACCAGTCGTAGCCCATCAGTAGCCACCAGTCGTCGCCCAAAAGGAAAGGGAAAAGGAAAGGCCAAAGGCAAAGCGGCGATGGACTGCTCGGGGTTTTGGTGCGCTGGGATCGGACATCAGTGACATCAGCCTAAAAAGCAGCTACATGCCCCCCCCGGCCGTTTTGGAGGAGAGTAGTAGTTGAGGTTTTGAGGGACAGAATGAGGGTGTGAGGGTCGAGTCAGAGTGTGCAAGTCTGACCCACCGACTATCTTCAGGCCCGAGCCGGCGAGCCTGAAGGGATCTGCGATTCGAACATCGTCAGACTCTTTTTTCCGTCTTGATTCGTTCAACCCCTATCTAAATGAGGTTGTCACAATCATGTCTGGAGAATTTTTGTGAATCAAGAGTGTACCTGGGCCCTCCAAGGGGTGTCCAATGGACTACCCCACACTACCCCACACTACCTATAGGCTTCCAATGGGCACCCTTTGGAGGGTCCTGGTAGTCACAGTCTATTGGGGGAATCTAGGTCTCTTCGCAGTTCTCATGGGTGGTAGTCAGGATCGACTGATGTCCGCGCTGAGAGGTTGGTTGCTAAACCCAGAAGGCTGGGGGGTGCACCCTGCTTTTGAGCCATTGAAGTGGATGGCATGACCCCTGGAAAGAGAAAGGGCCGTTTCTTCTACTTGACAGACAAACAGGAGGTTGTCCACTTCCATGTTTCTCTGAGAGGAGGCGGGGTTTACCGAGACTTGGCCCGAGCACTCGTCTGGCTTGGCTTTCCGGGACACTCCATGTACCAGGACCTTCCAACAGGTGGTGTTTGGGCACCTCTTAACCTCTAAGAGGCTATCTATAGACACCTCTTGGAAGGTCCTGGTATAGAATATTTATATACCTACTACAGTGACCCCAAATCAACCACCCCCATAGCCACCCCAATGTATGGCGCCAGTCCCAGACAGGTCGTGTTGGCCATGTTTTTCGACCTATGTCGCCTCGTAATCGGCAGGACGATTACGATGAGCCGCCGAAGGGAAAAGGAAAGAAGGGAAAGGGCAAGGGCCACCTGGGCCTCCGCTTCAATTGCACCAGCCCAAAGGGTGGTTCATACTTGTAGAACTTTTTTTACCAAAGCCTCCCCGAGTGCTTTCAATATCTTTCAATCACCATCCTTTGGGTGGTGCTCTTTTTTGGTTGTCGCTTTTCATTGCGATTCCTGTGAGGGGAATTTATAGGTCTTTTATGTTAGTTTTTCATAGCTTTTCATTGCCCCCCCATTGAGTTGTTGACTCATTCAGGCCTGTTTAGAGCGGCCTTCTACTTTGTTCCTGAGGAAAGAAGGGCGAAGGAAAGGGCAAAGGCAAGAAGGGGAAGGCGCGAAAAGTACGTCGGCGATTCGGTCGGCCGGCGCGAACAGCTAGTACGCCTCCAACCAACAGTACGCAGAGGCAAAAGGTGGCTCACCTTTAAACCCATGTTGAACCGGGTCCTTTGGGTGTCTCTGAGCAGAACAGAAGGCTTGAAGAGGTGGGAAGAGATGGGAAGGTGGGAAGAGGTGGGTGGGTGCTCGCTTCCTTGGAAGGGTTGGAATCCAAGCACGTTTGACCAGTCCTCCATGGACTAGGGCGCGTGGGCGGGCCGAGACTGTGCGGTCTGGTCTGTCTGCGGCGGGTCTGCGCAAGAGGTTGATAGTCTTACCCTTTTAGAGGAGGAGTAGTAGTAGTAGTAGTTGTAGTAGTAGTAGTAATAATAAGTAGTAAGTAGTAAGTAGTAAGTAGTAGTAGTTACTGTATACCTAGAGCCTGAGTGACCTAAAAACAGAGGTCATGTTTGCTGCGCCCTGCCCAACTGCGGGTCCAGCAGTGGTATCGTCCTTCCTGAGCGTGTCCCTGTGGGACGGCTGCGTTGTAGCCAGACGCTGCCGGGAGAGAGAGATGTTTGGGCTCGAGGTACTTGTAGGTACTCTGGACGTCAGTCGTCGAGCTGATAGGCCCTTGACGCACGTGTTTCAGCCTGGTGCCATGTCCTTCTCAGGCCGAGCCCGAGGAGCCCTCGAAAGGAAAGGCCAAAGGAAAAGGAAAGGCCAAGGGAAAGGGAAAAGGCAAAGGACGCTTGGCAGAAGCAAGAGCTCAGCTCGAGCTGTGGTACATATATACACCAAATCTGACTCCTTTTGCTGGTGTTGGGTCCGGATCGCATGCCTTAGGAATAGGTGCTTCAGAACCCAGACACTCCATGGCTGCCATGGGACTGCCGATCAGGCCAGGGGTGGTGCCAGAGAAGTCTGGCTTGATCGGCAGTCCTATGGCAGTCCCAGACGGGTCGTGTCTGGGGAAGAGAGAGAGAGAGAGATCGACACTGTCCTCCAACAAGAGAGAGGTGGGTTCTGACCAACGGGGTCCTCCATTCACATCCGATCGACCATGCGCCGATCTTTTGCATCAGTTTGCCTCGCTTCGCGGGACCGTTTGGACCGCACGTGTTGGAACGTTTGTGTCGCGTGGCCTGAGGAAAGGGAAAGCGCTTCTTGGTGTGATCAGTTGCGTGGTGTTGCGTGGTGTGATCACAGATGACCACATGATATTTCGATTTGACTAAACGCCCCGATATTGAGTTCTTGTGCACAAACAAGTTCGGGAGTGGATGTTTGCTTGTTCGGTGATTTTAAAAGTATAGTTTTCTTTTTTGCCTGGCTTCACTTTATGACCAAACACTTCCTGGAGCCAGATGCAACACGTGCATGGTGATCCCGCATGTTTTCCGTTCTGATCCGACGCTAAATGTAGAATATTGATTACTCAACCTCTCCAAATGGGGGGTCTTTATTAATCATGATTCTACATTACCAGCACCTTCCAACAGGTCTCCGAAATGGAGGCTTTTGTAGACTTAAAAGTCGCAGGTGGTGACCTGTTGGAAGGTCGGGACACAAAGCCCAACCGCCCAGAGCCCAACCTTGTGTGATCCGCAGTTGTTGTTACCAGTGGATGGGCAGATGGCACCAGCTACCCCACGTTGGGTGGTTTCTTTGGACCCTCATCTTTTCGAGACATCTTGGGGCGCCACTCAGTGCCATGAAGGGTCCTGTGAGGGTCCTGAAGGGTCCTGTGAGGCTGATCCGCAGCAGCGCGTGGTGACGTGGTGATGGCATGCATTGCAAAGGCAGAGGCGTGGGCCGCGTGGGGCAGGCTACAGGGCAAGCCTACACCTGGAGTCTCAACGTACCCTAGAAATACGTATTTGTTTTGGGTCATCTCCCATTTTGTAGGGTACTTGAAGTTGGGTCCAGGTGCCGTGGTTGCCACAGTTGACCTTTCATGTGACAAACAGGGACAAACATGGTCTCTACTTGTGGTCTATGCGAGGAACATCATGGTTCAACAGTTTCTGAATCCTAAGACTTTCAGCTGCTGTCTAGTGATAGTCGTGGTGTTTTCTTGTTTTTCTTTTACAAGGCTTCTTGAGCGCTTTGGAGGTGGAGTGCTTGGAACAAGACACACCAAAAGGAACTTCCACCTTCCTCACCTTCCAGCAATGGTCAAGGGATTTCTTGATGCCTGAACACGGCGAAGTGTTCGGCGAAGTGTTCGGCCTTGCTCGCCTTCGATCTCTACTCTCCGCGGCTCGACTTGAGGAGAAAAATGGCTGTGGATTTCCAGCGCCTCACACCGTGTGGAGTCCCAGGGAACCGTGTACCGCCCATCGGGACGTGGGAAAACTGCGCTTAGCAGCGGCAGACCGGCTTCGAAGCGACTTCACCTAATCCGAAGAACCACTGATATAGCTTTCCGAAGGATTTTAGGATTTTTTGATATTTTTTGCACTTCGACGCCAGCTCAACCATTTTGAAACTTGTAAGGTAGACTGTAGACTGACTGTTGATGAATAACACGCTCAGAGGTGGTTCTTGTAATGAATCGTCCTCGTCGATCATCCGGAAACCGGGTCACCTGGTGTTCGACTACCCTACACTACTGGTGAAGCCTTCATCCAGGGCACCCGGGGAGACCGGATGATCCTGGATGTTCAGTAGATCGCCATCAGGAAGAGGCTCCATCTACACCTGCCAGGTGTAGAAGTTCAAGTCACCAGGGGGAGCAGCATCAGGTCACTCCATGCAGCCTGTCCAGTCTGAGCCAGCACAACCTGGTCCTGAAAAGCTGCTGGAGTCGTGCTTTTACATGACCAACTGCTGTGGCTACAGTGAAATGAGGCCCAACTGACCTGTAGGGTCACACTCCATGCATGGAATACATGCCTACCTTGACCCCTGAAATCACCCCACCTGACTCTGATCGATGGTCGGATGCTTGATTTGTCCGGCTTCTTCTGCGCGCTTGGCGCTTCAAAAGAGGGATGTACGTATGAATGTTTCAGGATTCGAATGGCCTGCCATTTGGATGTGGAAACCTCTCCTAGGAGGCTTTCTTTCATCAACAATGACCTAACGTAGCCCCTCTGAATTGGAACTGGTTGACGGTGCTTGCTGTGGAGCAATCAATGTGCCAACGCGTATTTCACAAACATGGGTACTTGGTGAAAAGAGCTATGCACACACACAGAGTATCTTGCACCTGTTGAACGGGCCTTCAGTTCGAAGAGCTTTGCGCCCCAAAAAGGGCGTCTTGGACAAATGCACCCTGAGCTTTTGTACGATGTTGACGTGCCTTGACACCTTGAAGCATCAGCATCAAGCACCTTCTGATGTTTGAAGGTGTCTAGATATGAATGATTCGGTGGGCCGTGGGCGTTTTGGGGCCATATATCTTCCATCCAACGCCAGTTTCGGGCGCTTTCATGGGCGTGTTACATGCGGGATGCGGGGAACCAGTGAAAAGGCAACTCTTTTCAAACAAAGAATGCCCCCCTTCAAGACTCACCATGACCGTGGAGTTGCCACGGCTCTCTTCAAAACCGCCGGTGCGGTCCTCGTTCAGTTCCACATGCGCTGACCCACGGTCGCCTGGCAGAACACGGGCTTCAGCCCGGAACGCTGCGATCCATGCGATCGCCCGCGCTCGAAGGTTGTGATCCACTGATCTTCGATCTCCACGTCATGATCTCACTGCCAGCAGTGCTGCAGCTTGGCCATGCGCTCCCGGCTCGCGGGCCGGACCCAGCTGGCTCCCCTCCCCCCTCAAAGAGGAGCTCGCGGAACTCCGGACGTCACCTTTTTTGGGAAGCCCCACGAGATGTTTCATGTTGTTCCACCTTCCAACTTAGAGTTTTTGTTGCGAAATGCCCACCTTTTTCCTCGTTTCACGACTCGGTTCAGGTGAACAGTTCGGTTCACCCGATCTGGTCTCCCCACAAATCGCGCGAGGACGGCTCTGTTCCCAACGAACGCTCCTGACGTGTGCACACACCTTTGAGAGAGCCAGGCTATGTAGGACAAATGAGAGCATCGCGTGGTGTGTGCTTTTTTGGTTTGTATTGTTTTTTGCTGTTTGCTTTTTTATTATATAGTGTGTGTGTGGTGTGGTTGTCATGTTGTATTTATTTTTAAAGAAACGCCCATGTTTTCGGACGGATTGGCATCTCCAAGTCGGGTGTCTCATCTCCGAAGCCCAGCAACCCTCTTGCAGCCGAGCTTGGCAGGGGCGGTTGACCAGCTCGGCCTTGACCAGCTCGGCCAACCCCCAGGTGACCCGGTGCAGCTTTAAGCCGCGACGGTCCGGTGCAGCTTTCGGCTCATGGACCACATAAAGTGGCAATATTTGCAAGAAGCTATTAGTAATAAGGGCATCGCTACTCAGTAGCTCCTGGCATTAGTAACAAGAAGCTACGAACGTAGCAGAGGACAACATGTGCTTTGTAATTAATACACACCCAAAGTGGAAAGCCGGTGACAAAGGTAAGTACAAAGGTAAAGAAGACCACCCCCTGTTTAGTAGTCAGAACATGGTCTTCTTGACAGGAGCATGGTATCCACTTCTGTGGGAAGCAACACAGGGCCGGGGGGGTGCATCATGAAATATATTGAATAATCCATGTCCATGGGTAGGTGTTTTTTTTCAAACAACCTGGCAGCTGCATGAAGACCCACACCGTCTTTTTAAAGCACGAAAACCATCGTCCGACCCACAACATCACACAACATCACAACATCACACACCATCACACAACTCAAATAAAGCCAATGAAGAAGAAGAAGAACAATGTGAACCAAAGAGCAATGCAAAGAACAGAGCTTTTGCCGTTTAAGCCGTGTTTTCATCGCCATGACCTTGAGTCCCGTTTACGAGTTCAAGGCCGACCTCGAGGCCGGATCAGCGGATCAGCTGAATCAGCTGACTCAGCTTATCCGTGGTTCCGCGGATCCGGACCATGGCGAGGTCCGCCCTCTAAAAGCATCCCTGGCTTTGGCTGATCAGAGGGTTTTGGGTATTTTCCCTCAGGGCTAATGGGTACATCCCTTAACCTGAGGAGGTATGTGTTGCTGTCCCGGTTCCATCCGGTTCACTGCGGTTCGACAGCCAATCCAAGCACCCCAACAGCCCCGGGTCTTCTTGAGATTCCCGGCTTCCAGGTCGTTGACCAGTGGATGGGACGAGTGGAAGGAATCCCTGGACTCTATTCATATCCACTTCCAGACCAGACGAATGGAACTGGAAGAGGTAGTATATGTTATTGCTTACATTTTCTTACATTTACCCCATGAAAGTGACCCCAATGTAACAGGTAACTATTCCATATGGATGGTCTAGGTCTAGGTGGATGGTCTGGAAATGGACATTCCAGGTATTTGATGGATAATCCGTGCCACTCAATGTGTTGTAATGTGGACTCCGGCATATACGCAAAAAATTCAGGGGATCAACCCTTGCTGCCCGTAGCAAGGGGGATCTGGGAGTAGGAAAACCACCAACCTGAAGAGGTTGCACACTCCATGGGTATTTTACCTATCAAGAGTCTACATCAACCATTGCGGGCGGGATGGGAGAATCTTTGGACGTTCAAAACCGCCAAGGTCGCGTGTTTCGGAAGACGCCAGGGTCAAACAATACACTCCTAGCCATGGTTCCGTGACGTGTTCAATTGCAGAACAGACATGAAATTGTTTGGGGTCGGTCATCGTAAGTTCAACGCTCTCCCTCACAGATATTTTTGGAACTGCACTTGTTTCATGTGTTTCTCCACCTGCCTGTTGTTTTGAGTCCCGTCCGAGCGGGTCTTTGTTGAGTCCCCCCGAGCGGAAGGATCTGCTGCAGCTCGTACAAGAGCAGCATGAAGCCCTCACCTTGGCCCTGCGGCAGAGCTTCTGCGAAAAGGCTCGGAAGTCGGTCGTCTTGCCCTGTCCCGCGGACCACAGGGGAGGGGGGCACGAAGGCCAAAGTCCTTTCGGACTGGAGATGTAGGAACCCAGACACTCCATGTATGCCAGAGATGCTTACATTGGGGTGGTTTGCGGTGTCAATGTAGGCATATATGGCAGTCCCATTAGTCGTGTCTGGGGAAGTTCTTTCTGGACCCTTCGCTCGCTGCGTGGACTTAGCGGGCGAGCTGGAGGCCAAAGGTCTGTTCGGCATGTGACACCCCTGAGACGAACAACATGACCCAAAACACCCCAAAACACTCCAGGCCACCCCTGAGGCTCTCAGTGACCTTACCCAAAACACTTGGCCCCCCTGAGACGGTGGCCCCTCCACCTCTCGGTCTCCAGGACTCGACGCCCTCTAAGTCTCCTCCGGTGTCTTGGCCATGGTTCGGGTGAATGGGTCTACTTTTCCATATAAGGTAAGGAGGATTATTTTCCCATATCTTCCCTGTGAATTGGATTCTTTTTTATGTTGTCATTGTCTCCTGGATCTTCTTTAGGTCTTGATCTTCATTTTTTTCCCGTGAATCGCTTCAAATCCTACGGTAAGACTTCCTTTTCTTTTCCCGTTCCGACCAAAAGACAGCCAAAGACGCTGCACTCGATCCAAGGTTTCGACGCTGCACTCGATCCAGGTGCTTTCACGTGAATTGCGAACGACTCCGCGCAGAGGGGAGGGGGGTGAGAGAACCAGACCTCCGTGGAGGGGAAGTGCTTCGTCGTTCGTCGGGAGTCCCCCGGACCAAAAAATTTATGTACCAGGGGGCACAAGACGGGGTGGTGTTTAGTCCCTAAGTGAGTGGAGTAGCTGGGCACCCCTAACCTCCAAGTTCGGCACCCCTTTGTGACCGCTGGTATATATATATATACATACAACATAATTACAACATCCGAGATTCAATATAAAGGCCATATAGACGTGTTCTTTTTTCCCAATTGCGGGGTCACGGTGCCAGTTTCGAGTCATCCAGTTGCGGAGTAGTTGCACAATATCAGACCCCATGTATGACCCTATATCATGATCTCATCTATACGTATATATATATATATATGCCAGGAGCTTCCAACAGGTCACCACCTGCGACTTTTGAGTCTATAAAAGCCTCCATTTCGGAGACTTCTTGGTTTCGGTCCTGGTATATATATATAGTGTGAAGGCGTCTCACCCGGTTTGGTTTGTCTTCCTTTCGGTCCCGATTCTCGGAGTCACCGCCCCGGTTCCTTTGGGATTCGGACCGCGCGGGACGGCGGCGCCGCGCGCGACGCAGTTTGGCCTGGACGTGCGGACGCTTCAGCCGGAGCCCTTGGAGTCCGAGGCGAGCGCAGCCTGGGGATGCGGAGTGGTCACCGGGCACTTCGAAGTTCTTCTACGGGTGAAGACCGGTGAAGAAGCTATTTGGACTTCCGGGTGTTCCCAAAGCTGGCGATGAACACAGAAATCGCCCGGTTCCAGTAGTTCAGCAGTATAGGTTCTTGTTGGGGCCGGGAGTTGAGTGTTATTGTAATTAAACCTCTATGAAGGTATGTAACCGGCATTTTGCCATGTTTTTTGGGGGCGACAACTGACCACCACAGCAGATTCCATGGAGTTGAGTGCCCAACGAACGGAGGAAGTCAGGCCGAACTCGAACTTCCACGAGCCCTGGAATGGGACTAGACGCCACCCCGGCGTGGAACTCCTGGCGTTTAGAAGTAGCAACATGCACTTTTTGGGGCGCCTTTGGGTCAAGAAGAAACTGCACTTTGTGAACTCGGTGTTCTTTGAAAGCGAGAATGGCCGAATGACCGTTGGAGCCGGCACCCCTTGGTAGAGGAGAACAAACTTTCATTGAGGGTGGGGCGGTGCTGTCTCCTGTCATCAAAACGTATAGGAGCAACCCAGAAAATTGCGCAACGTTAGGGGTTCCAGGCGCCGAACTTGGAGGCATTTGGGGATGCCCAGAACATCCACTTGCCATATAGTGGAGCAACATCCCCTTAAAAATTTTCCTATATGGAATCATGCCACCTGCGTACTCCCCTGCAACCATTTTATAGCACTATAGACTTGAAATTGAGTCACTCAGGTTCCTCCATTCTAAAAGGAGACCGCGGGATACCACGGGAAATGTCCGACAAGGGTGCAATTTGACGACCTAGTTGACCTGGGGGTTGTGATCCTAAAGTGATAGAACCCTGAGATATATTATCTTTCCGTGAGCTTTGTACTGGTGACATGGGACTTTGCTTTTTTAGTGACAGACATGTTGATGGTCATTGAGTGATCGTGATTCTATAGCGGAGCAACCTGAAAGATGGAAAGATGATTCATGACGATTCTATAATGATCATGATTCGATAAAAATGGAAAGACGTTGCCGGATGTTGTCGGAAACATTCATCGAAAACACATCGGAAAATACTATAGAATCAGAGTCTTTTGAGCATATCGTATTAGAAGGATTCGGTCTGTGAGATGGGGGTTGTGATTCTTTAGTGTTGAATACTTCATATATAATTTCCGTGAGCTTTCACTTAACGACCTAGGGGCTTTGATTCTATAGCGTGTGCATGAGTTGGGGGGCATGATTTTATAGAGACCCCCACATGGGGGGCGTCGATCTATAGTATGAAATTGGGTTACCCAAGTACCCATATGTATCGTATGTATTTCAAAGGGGATGGAGCAACTAAAAGATAGAAAACGAACTGCTGAAACTGGTGGCACAAATCAGCTTTGTTTTGTGGCCCCTTTGGATGCCACCACCTCTTTGACTAATTTAAGATGTGCCACTAGCCACACGCAGTACTTAGACCCGCTGCTAGTCGGTGCTGTCTGTACCAGGCGCCGCAGACCGAAGATCCAATCACATCAAGCTCTCATGGAGCGGGGTAGTGTACAAAAAGATTTTGTCAACACGAGCAGCGAAAAAACGTCATCTCCAGATTGTGGACAGCTTCTAGATGTTTTGTGGACAGCCCCAGATCACGCCGAAAGATCGCTTTCAGGATCAGCCTCCCACCTGCACCCTGGAACTGGCAGAGAGCCCCAATTGGAAAAGCCACGTGGCAGACTTCACCGATTTCTCGACCGACTGGGATGACCGATTTCTCGACCGCTCGGACTTGCTCACATTTGGGGGTATCAGCGTATTCTTTGTCGCTTGCATCCTGGGAGACTTGCTTCCGGGCGGACTTCGTTCTTCTTCAGTGGCAGTATTTCTCACTCCCAGTGTTTCCATGCGGCGACTGTTTGTCCAGCTTTGTGGCCTGAGTTTGTTGTGTTTCCTTCTTGCAACCTCAAGGTAGGCCTCAAGGGAGTCATATCTAGCCTGGCTGCCAAGCAGGTTCGAGGTCAGCCAGGTTCTTCAGGTTCTTCTGCAGGGTGACCCTAGAGGGTTGAATTCCATCATGTGTTTTTTGGGGTGTCATGATGGTTTTTGCATGTTTTTGCTGTCGAGTCATGCTAGACAAGGGCCCTGTCACACTCCATGGGTTTTTTTCGGCAACTGTTGAGGGTGGTTGATTCTTTTCCAGTCCAGGCCCTTTTTGATCTTTTTGGCTTGTTACTGGTATTCTTGGTTGGGGTAGGCAAGAACACCAACCCTCTTTGGCTTTGGGTCACAGTTTCAGTTCCTTCGACTCAGTGCCCAGGCTATGCGCAGTCGGAGACCTGCTTCAGCGGCAGCGAGGGCGAATGCGGCACCCCGGGACAGTTGGACAAGGCGCCGCCGCGGTGAACGGCGCGGGCACCGCGAGACCCAAGGGATCCGTTGAGCTCCACTCCGGGAAGGCGTGCTACTAGCGCTCCAAACTAGAATGAGTTACTACCTGGACCCTCCTCCAAGGGGTGTCCTGGCTGGACTACCCCACACTACCGGCCTAGGCTTCCAATGGGCACCCCGACAGGAGGGTCCTGGTATAGACTAATAACGACTAATATGGTTTTTAGTTAATATAGCTAGGAACGTGAACGTATAAGATCGTATAAGTAAGTCCGTATATGGCTAGTATATATTTTTTTTTTGAGGCCTACTGTTCCAACAATTACTATATACGTACAAATTGTCAATTTGGACATGAGCTGCTTGAAGCCTGCACCTCGGTTTGTGACCGTCGCACCTCTAGACAAGCAAACCCACGTTAAGTGTGGGCTTCAACCTCCTGGACAAGCAACTCAAACTCAAATTACACACTCTGACATTGGTTTTCGGTTAACTCAATTCCCAAGTGGAAGAAAGGCGATAGAACCGCATGGCGAAGAGCCCAAGGAATTGTAGGTGTTTGAACAAAAGTGGTTTCTCGTGTCTGCGGAACTCAGCGGTGGCAAAACGAGCGGCACGGCGCAGCTGCAGAAACCAGGGTTTGGGGGAAAGTAGCATGTAAAAACCATGAATCAAACCGAGGAAAGTGGAGAGACAGCTTGTGCAAAAGTTGGTCGCAGGTACACACAGTTGATCAGACTGTGCATCCACCGAACAAGCATAGCTTTGTTAGCCAGCATTTGCTTGTCGGCCGCTGCCCCCTGTTGAAAAAAAGCATTCAAAAAACAAAAAACGAGGTGGAGCCCTTAGGCACAGGGGTTGACACACACACGGTGCCGCTTTGCGTCGCTCGTGCGAAGGACCTGAATAGTTACCTAAAAAGCCTTAGAAACAAAAGAAAGAAACACAGAAAGAGCAGCGCTAAGAGGGCAAGAGAGAAAGGTAGGAGTAGAAAAAAGGTGAATACTTAGCCCTTGACGGGGGTAGGGAAACGAGCCTCAAGAGCAACCTAAAAAGCCTGAGAGAAAGCCCAAGAAACGACCAAAAGCGCAAGAAAGAAAGTTGGGGGGCAGGGAGGTGTATGTACATGTGTGTGTCCGTGTGTGTGTGTGTATGAATACTTAGCACTCTAGAATTACTGATTACTTAGAGGAAGTGAATTAAATAGTTAGGGAGCGTGACTTTAGTCTTAGACCGCCCGGGTAGAGAAGACTAGAAAAGGGACAACAGAGGGAAAGGCACCGACACACAAGTGTGCCGAGTACCATTTCCCTCTGTTACCCTAATTAGTGGGTGGGAGGGGTTGGGGTGTTTGGGGTAGAAACCGCGTGGGGGTTCATTCTCCGTACAAGCCCGGCGGCTGTTGAACTCAAATGATTTTATCCGTACAAGCCCGGCGGCTAGCAGTTAATCCAGTGGTGAAAAAGAATCAGTTAAGAAAATCCAAGGAGTGAAGGATCCGAAAAGTCTGTTACACGATTTCCAGCATGACTTCGGCGCCCCAGTGACGGGGATCACACCCAGCACCCAAGTGGGACGGCTGAGCGGTTCACACTCTGACATTGGTTTTCGGTTAACTCAATTCCCAAGTGGAAGAAAGGCGATAGAACCGCATGGCGAAGAGTCCAAGGAATTGTAGGTGTTTGAACAAAAGTGGTTTCTCGTCTCTGCGGAACTCAGCGGTGGCAAAGCGAGCGGCGCGGCGCAGCTGCAGAAATGGGGGAAAGTAGCATGTAAAGACTATGAATCAAACCGAGGAAAGTCGAGTGACAGCTTGTGCAAAAGTTGGTCGCAGGTACAGTTGATCAGACTGTGCACCCACCGCACAAGCATAGCTTTGTTAGCCAGCGTTTGCTTGTCGGCCGCTGACCCCCTCCCTGCTGAAAAAGCATTCAGAAAACAAAAAACGAGGTGGAACCCTTAGGCACAGGGGTTGACACACACACACACTCTGACAATCGTTTTCTGTTAACTCAATTCCCAGGTGGAAGAAAGGCGAAAGAACGGAAAGGCGATAGGTCCAAGCATTTGAAGGTGTTTTAACAAAAGGTTCAGCTCCTATGCATTAGCCACTTTACTGAATACCTAGCAGACCGCCTATGCATTAGCCGCTTTACTGAATACCTAGCAGACCGCCTATGCATTAGCCGCTTTACTGAATACTTAGCAGACCGTTTATGCATTAGCCGTTTTACAGAAAACCTAGCAGACCGCCTATGCACTAGCCGCTTTAAGCAGTTTTGCCGGTATGTTTTCACACCTGCCACTGCCGGTCTTCGTTGGCCACAGCAGCAGTGGCAGGTCTGTGGCCCCCTGCTTCTTTTGCTCCTAGTAGTAAGGTCAGAAACTACTAGTAGCACCCAGCCTTCTAGTGGAACCGACGGTAAAAATTACCAGGTGAAACCTTAGAAACAGGTGTTAACACACACACAGAGTGCCGCTACCGGCGCTCTGTGTGCAACAACTTTGTACATATAGCGCCAGTTCTGGCGCGGCGGAAAAATTACTAGTCACGTAAAAAGCCTTAGAAAGACAGACAAAGAAAACAACACAAAAGCAGACTAAGAGGGCAAGAAAGAAAGATAGGTGTAGTTACGAGGCCCACTTAGTTAAATGAAAGTAGCTCGCGAGCGGGACCTTTGTCTTAGACCGCTCGGGTAGCTAGCAATAGATAGGAGAAACAGAAGGAAAGGCACCAACACACAAGTGTGTTGAGTGCGATTTCCTTCTGTTGCCCGAATAGCGGGTGGGATAGCAACGGAGGCCAGGGGGTAGGGAGGGGTGCCGTGTCTCACCGTTCACCGTGGAAACTTGTTGAAGGGTCTCCTATTCGAGTCTCCAGTTCCAACGCAACCCCATGCCATGAAACTAGGAATTTCCGTGAAAACCCGGCGACTGTTTGAGTGAGTCGATCCAATAGTGAAAAGGAGGCGGTTAAGATAATCCAAGGTTTGGTGGAAAAAGGAAAGCAGTTACATGATTTCCGACATGAGAACAGCGCCTCCTTGCGGAGGATCACACCCAGCACCCAAGTGGGACGACTGAGCGGTTCACACTCTGACATTGGTTTTCTGTTAACTCAATTCCCAGGTGGAAGAAAGGCGAAAGAACGGAAAGGTGATAGGTCCAAGCATTTAAACGTGTTTTAACAAAAGGTTCAGCTCCTATGCATTAGGCGCTTTACTGAATACCTAGCAGACCGCCTATGCATTAGCCGCTTTACTGAATACCTAGCAGACCGCCTATGCATTAGCCGTTTTACAGAAAACCTAGCAGACCGCCTATGCATTAGCCGCTTTAAACAGTTTTAAACAGTTTTGCCGGTATGTTTTCACACCTGCCACTGCCGGTCTTCGTTGGCCACAGCAGCAGTGGCAGGTCTGTGGCCCCCTGCTTCTTTTGCTCCTAGTAGTAAGGTCAGAAACTACTAGTAGCACCCAGCCTTCTAGTGGAACCGACGGTAAAAATTACCAAGTAAAACCTTAGAAACAGGTGTTAACACACACACACAGCAACAACAACAACAACATTAGGCTGGGACGCATGCATTCCGTCAATTCATATCACGAATTGGAAAAAGGTTCTTTTCTGAGCATCTCCGTTCCCCTTTCGCACCTCCTCAAGCTCTAGATGACCTCCATGAGTGGACCCTGGCCTTTGGAGGGGCCCTTGGACCCTCCAGCATCCCTCCATCCCTCCTCCCTCTTTCGCCGCCGCACGCTCGGGCAGAAGCCGGAGAGGTCTTGAACCCCAGCCGGTCTCAACTGGTGGATCCGGCCATCCAGCTGAAAGGCGCCCATCGAACGAACTTTTCCGCGTCGGACGTTCCGAGTCGCTCGTTGGCGCGAAGACGGTGTTTGGGAGCCACCCGGGACGGGGTGAGGCAGACGCAGTGACGGCGTGAACGAGGTGGCTGTTAGACTTACAGTGGTTTCAGAGGTTCGATGGCACAGACCCCATGATGTCCTAGACAGGTGGTGATGTCCTTTAGATGGGTGTCCATATAAACCACCGACATTCTACTCTCAATTCACTATATATTAAGGGAGCGAGTGGAGTTGCTCTAGCTGGGGCGACGTCCTCCATGATGCATGAAGCACCTTTAAATGGCCTTGGTTTCTAGAAGGCATTGTGACATAACCAGGAAACGTGGATCCTTTGTGGATCTTCACCCTTTTTGGGGCATTGGGAGTGTTGGCCCACTCAGACAAGGAACAGGTGGAAGGTCTGTTCACTTCAGATCTTTCCATCGACACGGCCGAGAAGAGGAGGTAGGCCCTTAATTGAGACTGCTCATGAATGTTGGTTTCGACATTTTTGTGGGTGGTTTTGGATGGTGAATGTATACTGATACTGGCCATATAGGCCCAGATAGGCACCACCACGGATTTTGGGCCTTTCTTTCGCTGCCACTCGGGTGAACGCCTCGGAACCCGGGTGGGCGGCGCCTGAGTGCAGGTTGGGCCCGGCTCCGGGAGCTGCTGCGACAGCGCATCGACTACTTCGCCGGCGTGTGGCGTGGCGCGAAGTGGAGAGGACGAGAGGAGAGGAGGAGAAGGGGGCATTGTTTTAAGAATTTGTAGGTGTTTTCAACCACATATATACGATATATATATATATATGTACCTAGAGCCCATTTGACCTCTGTTTTGATAGGAAAAGACCATCTTTTGGGTAGTTGGTGATCCAAAATAAAGGTCATTCAGGTTCTAGGTATACATGTATATATCGATCTATACCAGGACCCTCCAACAGGTGCCCATTGGAAACCTATAGGTAGTGTGGGGTAGTCCAGCCAGGACACCCCTTGGAGGGTCCAGGTATAACCAAGATATATATTTTTAATGTAGGTTTTTTTGTTTTCTCCCCGTCCTACGGGGCAGAACGTAAAGTGTGGTGGTACTATAGATTCGGGGGGTGGTAGGGCCGAAGACTTATCAGTTGGATTCTGTTTGGGCATGCCGTGGAGCTGAGCAACGTTTTGAACGGGACTGAGCTTGGAAGGACTCAGCCTTCCTTCTACCCAGAAGAGTCTGGTACTGTTTCAATCCTTTGCACTATAGTGACCTCCTCCCCCATCCAGACCCAAGCATCCTAAGGTGTTTGAATCAGAGCCACGTGCCGAGAGTTCGATGGTTGGCTGGGCTTTGGCAGTTTTTTCAGAGAGCTCCCTGATGCATCGATCTCCGTAGAGACCAAGGTGATGCGGGGGTACCTTGTTGGGTTTCATCCAGCCGCCCACCAGGTCCAACCGCGACAGGGGCGACCGATATATTAAACAAAGAAGATCAAGAAGTGAACGGGAGCAAGAAGAAGCCACACGTGATCCGTAATCTATGAAGGGGGCCATGTTCAGGATCCATGTCGGTGTTTGACTATCCATGCGCTGAGGCTGGTCCTCATCAATTCCCTCTTCATGCCACCGAACCGCATGGAGAAGACGAGAGCCGTGTTGCAGCAGGGTGCGAAAGACTTAGCGGAGTAGAACATTGACTTTGGACTCAGTATTTGATGTTTGCATACTTTTGCTGATGCATCATGTTCCTGGATTTTTCCAATGTAGATCAGGTTCCCAACAGGAACCGTCTTGAGATTGAGATCACGCTGCTTTCGGGAACGCATCAAGTTCATTGCGATGTTACTTGTGGACTGGGATCGCCATGTTGACCCCAGGATTCCAACCATATTGATTCAAGAGAGTCATTTTCAAGGATTTAAGATGATTTTAAGACTCAAGACTAATTACCAGAACCACCCAAAGGGTGGTTTATAGAGCCCCCTGAAGATGTATGTTCCATCTAATGACCACGCCACTTTTGGATTGTGTTTGTTTTCTTTTTGTTTGGGGGGTCAACCGTCCACATGATTTAATGGTGGTCATGGCAGAGACCATTCCCCCGAAAAGCCCTTCCAAAGAAGCCTTCAGTTTCGAGGGTTCTTGGAGGGGGTCAATGGAAAAATCCCTGGGGCTCCAACCATATCCTCAGGTTCAGTGGTTAGACCCCAAAAACCCACCCCAACCATATCCTCACCTCAGGTTCGGTGGGCCAGGAGCCCAAACGGGAATGGGGGGAGCCCACACCGTAGATGTCCCATCACACCGTGTGGATGCCCGTTGGACCCGTCACACCGCGCCTCCCGTTGGACCAGTCCAGAATGCTGGAGCTGGTTTTTGTCGTTTGACCACTCAAGCCCACAGGTTCTGGCATTGGGCCAGGACCTTCCTTTCGCCCGGTGGTTTTTGGACACCCCGAAGACCTCTAAGAGGCCTGCTTAAAACGTTTGTAAAGACACTTCGAATGGAAGGTCCAGGCTGATATATGTTGAGGTGATTGTTTGTCTCCCGGTTCCCGAACCAGCAAATCGGCCAAGATGTTCGCCCAACCCCCGCTCCAGGGTTGGGCCATTTCATGGCACAGTTTTGTTGTTCTTTTTGGCTTTCACCTTGGAGGGCGAGCCCTCCAAATGACAGATGTTGAGGGGCGCGTAGGAGCATGTGGGAGCAGCGAATCGCTCCAGTTAGCGAAGCGCTGCACCTGCTGAGGGTCTTCGAGTTGGAGATCGAGGGGCTCTACTCAGGCGCGCGAGCTCGTTGTGACGGTACTTATTAGGTCCCGGAGTCGCGTGCCTTGAACTCCAAACGCTTTCCGGCGGGAATTGCGGGGGAGGTGGAAGATGCCCTCGTAGATGACCGTAAAAACATGTGGTGTTCTGCCACTTCCATGTGAGTGTCACAAACCTCTCAGCCGCAGTCAGGGCTCATCGAAAGAATTTGCTCAAGTCTGCTCAATAGATGCAATAGATCTCAATGGGGTTTCGCGTTCAATGTTGGAGGGATACATTGATACATTTTTATCAGGAGAAGATTCCCTGGACCGAAACACCACAATGCACAGAAACCACGGAACCAAGCTGTAAGCAAGAAGAGTGGGGTATTCACTCTTCATGACTCTCTTCATTGGCATTCACATTCACAAGACTTCGACTCTCCATTCTGACGGTCCCCGCTGTTGACTCCAGCCGATACACTGGATGCCTCCCCCCACGATGAGTCCTCACGTCCTCAACGATGCAATTCATTGGATACAATGTGCGGCATGGAATTCACCATTGACTGGTAGACAGTTCCTACCCAGTCCATTGGATACACACCCAGCGATTGATGGGACGCAGGAGCCACCCTGGGACTCTCTACGGATGTAGGCGCGCACCGTCCGTGACGGAGAGGATCGGCACTTGGGGCGGACCGGCCGGTGCCAAGAACAAGTGCCGAGGAGAAGAACCAGAAGTTTCAATTTTTGGATATTGGCAGAGAGACTGGAAGCAGAGATGTGGACTCTGAAACCACTGAAGCTGATGTAGGAAGAATGTACTGTATGAACTTGAACATGTGCTGGTTGGCTCCTAGTTGGCTCTTTCGTTGCCACCTTCGTAGGCGGCTGGCATGACTGACTGGGTTGGTGCCTCCCAGTGCTTCACACCGTTGCATCGGCTGAGTCCCAGCACCAGTCCCTCCCAGAGCTGGTTTTGCGGATCGGAAGGATCTTTTTATCCCGGTTCCCAGGTGAATTCCCGGTTCCCTTTAGAGAAGATGTTCTTGCATTTCTTACTAGGAGATTGACTAGCAAAGCTCCAGAAAGAATGTAAAGAGATAGAATAGATCTACCATAAGGACTCAGGATTTCGACTTGATGACTTGTCAACGTCCATTGACATCCTTTCCGCATCTGTTCTCTCGCCTCCACATCATATTCCAAGAGACCTCAAGAGACCCCACCACCACTGGTGGGCCGCGGGGAAACCGGCTACCGCCCCGCGCGCTCTCGCGGAGTCAGGATTTAAGAGCATGGAGCCCACCTTCCGAGTGATCGACTCTCTTTTCGACTCTTGAAGTCGAACAGTTGGCGATGGCGGGCGAGAGAGGGCGAACCGTGCGACGCACTCGGACCGTGGGCGTGGGAGTGTTTGTTTTTCTTTTGGGTGATTGATGGACCGATGAGAAGATGATACTGAACACCTGGAGGTACGACCTGATGGTGTTTTGTTTAAAAGATCTGGCAGCATTTGTTCTGTTTCTCCCAGAGTTGCAGCAATTTTGATCCCATTGGGTCTCATTAGAGTTGTATAATGTTATATATGCATCTCTATATAGCTAATAGGTGGTTTCGATGTTTTTTTATGTTCAATCTTAGATGTGTTCTATTACCCACTCACTCATAAATTTGTCGCTGAGTTCAAGTCCAGCCTGAGCCAGGTCCCAACCTGGTCTTTTACCTCATTGAGCAGTGCTTTTATGACCAACTCCAGTACCATGAGGTCAAGCTGACCTGGTAGATGTTATCAAGGCTTTTGGGTGCAAATGAGCGACGGTGACCTAATGATTTGGCCACTTTCAATCACTTCCCACACACTCCATGGAACAGCTTAATTTATGCGATATATAATGCCTACATTGACCTCTTTCAACCACCGCAATGTAGGCATAATATATATATATATACAGATCCATAGGGTGCTTGGGCTAATGGCACAGAATGCCCTTTGTTACAGCAACCTATCCAACCTTTCTCCGGTTCCGGAATGCGAAATTGTTACCAATTCCACGGATGTGTTGTGTGTTCCCCTGCCCTCCCCCCCCAAAATAAGCGGCCGCGGTGGCCGAGCGCCGAGCTTGAGGTCTATATCTATGTCGCCGAGCTCTTCGTGCGCATGTGGGTGGAACGCCGCGAGTTCATCAGGCCCATGGACCGGGCGGCCAGCTGTTCTCGGTCAGCTGGGCGTGAAACGCTGCGCGGTCGAACAGGAATTCATGAGAAAACCCTCCCAAGAGCTGAGTGCATCCAAGTGGGTGGGGTTTAAAGCCCACAAGCCTACATGATCCTCCGACCAAAGTAAAGTGGATCACGTACTTGAAGCTTTTGGGGAACCGATTTCTCCACATGAGCACCAACGAGTCGACAGGTTTGAAACTTGACACGACGTGTTCCGCGCTCGACCGGAAGGATGGGATGGGCCAAAATCTGGGAAGGTTCTTCCGTTCATACACCTGGCGCAGTACCTGGGGGATATTTTTGTAAGAGTAGTCTGTTCAAATCTTTTCAATGTTTGTGGATGTACCCACTCCAGAGCATAACTACCCTTTTAAGATTCTTTAAGGCTGTCTTCAGGTTGTGAGTTGTGACACGATCGTGTATGTGTTGACCCATCGTGGTCCATGCTGGTCGCCCGGCTCCGAGCTCCGAGCTCCGACCTCCGTCACGTCCCGTTCCACCGAAGCACGAGGGCACGGGCGCCCACGGTCCTAGGCATTTCAGCAATTGGTTTGACATTTTGTTGGTGCTGGCGGGACTGGCTGACATTTACATCATCGTGCCTTGGGCGTGTCATGGGCACCTTGGGACTGGGCGTGCGTGTAGGTCGTGCCTTGGCGCCCATCTTTTTTTAAATCTCTCTCCCTCTCTCTCTCTCAGGCTCTCTCAGACTCAAAGGGAAGGTCTTGAGATCGTGCCTTGGGCGCCCATGTCTTTTTTGTATATCTCTCTCTCTGACTCTCTCAGGCTCAAAGGGAAGGTCTTGAGGCTGAAAGCGTATAATATCAGCTGGGGAGTGTTCACTGCGTTTGACATTGAAAGCTTTTTTTGGGATGATCCTGGGAATCTGGTGTGTTGGTCGGAGTTCCAGCGGGGTGGTCTACCAAATTCATGTAGAATTGAATAGCCGCCCATGGGGTGGGTTACATGGTTTTACTAATTCACGATTCTACATGAAGGGATCTACAGACGATGCATTGCCCTGATGTAGACTAGACTAGATCTCTCTCAGCCTAAGACCAACATTAACATTACCATAAACAGTCGGCGATCGGTCAAAGATGATCACGATGTCTTAAGAAAGGTGTTTACTAACAGTATAAAACCATCATACACTGGGCATGGTATATGATTGGATACATCTGTCATAGCCCTCCCTTCACCGCATTTTCATTTGCTCCACCACATCACTGCCAACGTTCATCCCATCCTCCTCGCACCCCACCAACCCGCCTACAAGGCCAGTGGCAAACCTTTAGCCATTTGTTTTGGGAGAGGATAGGTTTCTCCAAGAACAGCATCCACATGAACAAGTGGAAAAGGGTATGAAATTGATCTTGTTATATAACTTATATTTGAATATGTTATATAAGTTATATATGTTAATTTCTTTTATTTTATCTTTCTGCTCTGCTTGAGGGAAACTGCTATGTTCCTTCCCATCAACTCACCTTCTTCTTCGCCCAAACCGCCCAGTCGCCTCCACTCCACTCCGTCTTTTCAGTCGCCCATGGCCGACGGCGGCAGCGCGGCGCGCAACATCGCCATCCTGCGGCTCTTCCGCGCGACGAAGTCCTTCCGGTCCATGCGCATGGTGAGGACCGGACGTCCAACCCACCGGGGGTCAGACCGTGCGAATCAAGCGGAGCGACGTGGGTTTGAGGTCCGGGGGGTAGAGTGGAGGTTTGGTTTTAGGGGGGGGTTCATTTTTTGGAGTGGAAGGGAGGGGGAGGGGGACAAACTAGTTAACTGATGTTAACTGTAACTTTTGTACAGATGGAGGCTAACCCACTTTTGGGCAATCATGTAGACTTCATCTCCATTCCACCATTGTTTTCACCACAAAACCAGGTCAACCATGGGATATAAGGCGAACGGGGAAACGCCCAGTGGTTCGCCCCCCCCCCCCACTTGGCTCTCACGCCTTCTCTTCTCTTCCGCCTTTCGCAGGACTTTTCGCCTCTTTCATGGATTGAGGCTTTTAGTGAAGGCCTGTCGACCGGAGGAGTGGTGTCGTGACCAGGCTCCCCGGTGCCATGACGGCCGAGAAGGGGCGTTCGTCCCCCGTGATGGAATGTCCTGCCAGACACGACCCGGACCTGGGACTGCCCTAGATGCTGATCAGTTGGGGTGGTGCCAGGGGAGTCAATTGATCGGCATATATGGCAGTCCCATTAGTCGTGTCTGGGGATGATTTTCTCTCGATGCTGCGAAGTTTTCCGTAGCGATGTCGCATCCTCCGTGCACCACTGGGATCACTTGCATCACTTGGAGTCCTTGTGGCTGGGAGCGACGACGGGTGACGAGGTTCGGAGCGACGTCGAGGTCGACGGGTCTCCCCGAGGTCGACGCTTCGCGAAGCGGTCTGCAATGAAATTCAACTGTCATCGCTGATATGCAAGCTCAAGAACCAGGGACTGATATTCAGAGAATCTCCCGATCTTCCTAGCGATCTTCGACGCCGGATGGGGTGGACCCCTCCATTTCAGTGGGGGAACTGTTGGGTCTGAAGCCGCTTAGCTTCGGCGGAAGCCGCTTCGCTCGCCGCACGGCGCGAGGCCTGCACCTCCTTTTTACCATCCTTGGCGTGGTCGATGGTGCTGCTGGCGGTGTTTATGTCGATGGGCGCCTTGATCATGGGGAACCTGCTGCAAGTGCCCCTCGGCCGCCTCGGCCTCGTGACGTCGAACATGAAGACGTTTGCGCCGTTCGATCCTTGGGGGAGAGGCTTCAGATGCTTCTGGTTGGGGGAGAGGCTTACTAACAGAGGTTGAAGGGCCCTGGTTCGACTGTCCCATACATATCAGAGGTCCCCAGGATACCCCAGGTGACGGGTCCTATTTACGGTTACTGATCACGTCTCTTGGTATTAACTCAATTCCTTCCAGTTTTGTTGCTTCTTGGCCTTTCCTCGTTTTGCGAGCGCGGATCAAAGACTCGCTCCGAAAGGATGCCGGATCATCGTAAATATATCGGGTCTCCAATAGACTACGTACACTGATTCCTTGGTGTGATGATGTATGGGATTCATGATGGTGAAAAAGGGATGTGACCTGGGAGTGGAGAGACAGCTTGTCACCTCGCGATGTGTAGAGTGCACGGCTCTGGAGTCACAAAATTATCAAAAACTCTAGTCTAGACCAACTTAACTTCACCTGGCTGGTGTTCAGCTGAGGTCAGTCATCCAAAGATTTGCGTGATTGGATGATTGGCATTCCCTCCTCAAAAAGGATTGAACATGAGTAAACTGGATCATGGCCAGCACCTCAAATCTGAAGAACATCTGGAGGCCCAGCGATGTTCAACCCCTATTTCTGGTTTGTGCATCCCCCCTCAACTGTTTTTTGCAGTTTTCGGGTGATTGTGATGTTCCTGGGTGGACTCATGTGGAACCCCCTTCCTGGAAGATGTTCTGTTTCAGTTCATGAAATCCTACACGTCCCCCAAATTGCCATAACTACTGGGCGGGAGCCGTGTTTGGGAATCCGACCGACCGCGGTTTCCCCAAAACGCCTGAACTGAACGGTCCGAGGTATATCGTTGGCGAGGAGGACGTGGGGACCGAGGAGGATCGCATTTGGGCCGCCTGGACCGCGTCGATCCTCCTCGGGATGAAAGAGGAGGATCGCGGCTTCGGCGGTTCCGGTCTGGTGTCTGGAAGCTTCGATCATGCCATGAATCGAAGGAATCTCATTAGGAATCATCCTGGAGGTCCAGTCTCCAGTCTGTAGGGCCTGATCCCAGTCCCCCATCATCTGGTGATCGCTCCGGAGGATCCAGGGTTGAGTCGTCGAAGAGTCGGTTGGGGACCTGAATCTTGATGGATGGATCTTCGAAGCAATCCACCTGAAATGTCCTCTTTGGGAAGCGGTGCCCGGGAGGAAAAGTGTACTTGTGCATCTTTTGGCATGAAGTGCCATGGTGTGCCATGGCAGTTCGAAGTTCCTAAAAGCAGTGGAAGCAGCTTCATGAAGGCGAAAGATGAGACCGCCAGGATGCGCTGAAAGAGCGGAGCCTGAGGACTAACATATTGCAGTAATACAGCATCATGTGCATTTAATATGTCATTGACTGATCTTCTATTCATGCATGTGTCGGAACACCTTTCCGCAAGAGATCCTCTTCCAAGACAGATGCAAGAGTGTGAAGCCCTATCCAGGACAAGTGGAGTTGACCTTTTCCTACCCTTTTTGGGGGACTGCCTTCCCCAGTTTTTATCCCACAGGGTCTTCCAATTTCTTTACTTTGAGTGATCCCACCATGACATTTCAATCTGACAAAGTTTCTGGCAAATATATTGAAACATGAATTTGGCATCTTTTCTGGCATATTTGCTGACATTCTTTCTGGCATATCTTCTGATATTCTTTCTGGCATATCTTCTGAGACTTTCTTTGACATTCTTTCTGGCGTATCTTCTGGCAGTCTTTCTGACATCTCTTCTGACATTCATTCTGGCATTCTATCTGGCATATCTTCTGACATTCTTTCTGACATTTTGACAGCCGAAGCTAGCTGCTGAGGCCCGGCGGGGAACACTGCCAGTCGGAGCTCGCGGTTGAGGTCCGGAGGAGGAGGACGAGGCCGGGGAGGAGAAGGAGGACGGCAGCTGACATAAAATCTAACAACCCTCACCTGACAGGTGGGGAAAAATCCGTGAGCCGTGGAAGCCAAGAAGACCGAAGCGCCACTCCTCGGTCGACCGGTGCGACACCGGTCCCGAACCAAGGTCTGGCACTACTACGGCACGGCCACGCGATCCTTGTGGACCCTCTATGAGATCACCTTTGCAGGTCCGATCAGCGAAAGTGGTGGGAATCTGGACGCGAGTGGACGTGCAGATGTCACATGTCCAGTTTTCTGCTGTAGACTCCTGATTATATTGCACCTGCCCACTTGCCCATTTGAGTTGAAAAACATAAGAGTTCACTCGGGATGTCCATGAACAACGGCCCTGCTGGGCGATCCTTTGTTCTTGATTGGCTCATGGCCAGGCAACTGGCCTACACGAGCTCGCCCTGCTCCTTGGGCAGATCAAACGCTCGAGCACCGGTCTCCCCCGCAGATCGCTTCCGAAGAACGGGGATGGCACGGCTCTTCTGTTCGTCCGAGTCAACTGGCCACGGGTGGTGCGTCCACTCCCCCAGGCTGTGAGTCTCTTCGATGTTTGGTGGGTTTCCTTTTTGGAATGTTTGTTTTTCAAATTTTACTTTGGATAGGTGTTCACATGTGTTCAAAACCGACTCATATTATTTGCGTTCTGGTTGATTGAAACCACCAGCATCCAGCATTTGCCTGACCATCTTGATCGATCCATACCTCTTTGGACCCGTGCTTCACGAGCAAGGATGCATCTCATTGGGGCAAGGGTAGACCTGTCGGTGCAATAGACGGACGCGGATCCAAAGATGTTTTACCCAGCGACGCCATGTATATGGAATATGTATTTACATACTGGGTGGGTTTCAGGGGTCCATGTAGGTCAATATGCAATTTCATGAAGTGTCCGGATTGTTTTTGTGACAAATCTTTCAATGATGTAGACTCGACTGTTGGTTCAGAAACCTCACCCAGGACTGGAGGCGTTGTCTCCATTCTGGAGACGGGGGGTTTAGTCATCAAGGGAGGGGACTTGAAGACTGAGAGTCCGAGTTCCGATCGTTCAATGACACCCATGGTTTGACGGATGTTCTCCCAAAAAGCGACATGGTGATGGACTCACTGGCCTACATTCACCACCCCAAATCACCCAATGCAGGCCATATTTGCAGTCCCATGTAGCGTTTGGGTATTGGTCCAGAACTCTCCAAGGACTCCTTTTGCTACATCTGAGAGTTGCAATTCCCCTGCCAGTTACTACTACCAGTTCGGGGTCATCATGGGTGATGACTCTCTCTCTCTCTCAGTTGTGGTCTAAATGCCCAGCGGCTCCATGTATGGTATATGTGACCATAAATTGACCAACAGTCACACATCTATCGCTACTGCACATTTTCGCCTGAAACCACCTCAATGTAGGCATAGATGATACATAATAGATCATAATAGTATCTACTGTAACTGTAACTCTCTCTCTCTCTCTATAACATCTATAAACACACACACATATACCAAGCATGTAGTTGTTGGGTGCAGCATTTAGTCTTTGGAACCACACGGTTGCCAGCGAAAGAGAACCCGTAGAGAGCCTGCCCCTGGAGCCGAGCCAACATTCGCGACTCCGTCAGGTCATGGAGAAGGTGAGCCAGATGTTCGTGATTTTCTTCTTTGCTTATGTGCCTTGGGCCGCCGTTACCTCGTGGCTGTGATTGACCACGAGGATCCAGCGATTGTTGGGGGGTACTAGTATGCCGATCGCAACAAAAAAGCGGGAGTTGCCCTTGGCTCGTCCAACCTCTTTGTTGAGGCTGGGCGGGTCCCAGCGTCGGAGACTTCCCCACCCCACAAACACCGCGAAGGTCGTCGGAGGGGACTCTCCCAAGAGGAGTCGCTCGTCGTGCTGTGCAAGAGTCGAGCGAGGTCCTTGGTCGGACGTGCTTGAGTTGTAGGCGCTGGCAAAGTGTTTGGTATTATTGCTTGGTGGCATTCAACCTTTACTTCGGATGGTTTTTGACCAGCTGACTCCTATTGGATGCGTTCTGTTTCGTGGAAACCACCAGATAATACGGTAGGTCTTCCTCAAATTCCTTATCTATAATCACTCACCCAACAACAATGATTCACGCCTAATCCTTATATAATCCTTGTTGCGGTATACGGATTAACGCTTTGCAGATTGAAGCTCTTACCCGTGTCATTATATATAAGTTTTGGCGATGTTTTGGGCAGTGCAGATGGCACTGCTTCTCAAGAAGTTTGAAAGGCTTGGTTTGAACAGCAGTAAGTAGGAGTACAGACAGGCTAGGTGAGTGGTAGATCTAGGTGGTGGGCATGAACCCGATACCAAAAAGAGTTCTTTTCTACGAAGGACCACTGCTTGGGAGTCTAAAGTGGGCATGAACCCTTGGTCCCCAGCCCTGATGCTTCCATTTTGAAGGGCACACAAAGAGTGCTTTTCTGCGAAAGACCACTTATTTGGGGGGTCTAAACTGGGCATGAACCCTCGGTCGCAGGCCCTCATGGTTCCATTTTGAAGGGCACTCCCGATACCAGAAAAAGTGTTTTTCTACAAAGGGCCGCTTGTTTGGGGGTCTAACTGGGCATGAACCCTTGGTCCCCAGCCCTCATGGTTCCATTTTGAAGGGCGCTCCCAATACCAGAAGGAGTGCCTTTCTACGATAAAGACCACTTGTTTGGGAGTCTAAGGTGGGCATGAACCCTTGGTCCCCAAAACGTGTTTTTATATATTTTTTGTTTACTCCGGCTGGGTGGGACACTCAAAGGATTGTATTGTGTCACTGGACACCACACAAACAGCCAGCCAGGGGCTAAGGCAAGAACCCCAAGAAAGAGAAAACACAAATGTAATACTTAGGGTCTCCTAGATTTTTGATTTTGCAGGCCACCAAGTCCCTGGGGCGTGGAAAACAGGTTGAGGGTGCATTTGGATTGCGGATTAGCATGGCTTAGGTCATGTGCACGGATGGTCCGCATTGCGGATTCATTTTGGGAGACTCAAATTTAGAAGCAACCACCACAACAGCAACAGCTCTTAATCGCCCCCAGTTGTTGCTCAAATTTTTTAATTATCAATCACTCCCCCGCAAAAAAACACCACCACTTGTGGGGCGCACGGAAGTCGCCCGTCCACCCGGTCGCCCGTGAGGTCACGGTGATCGTGTTCGCCGTGTTGCGGGTCATCTCTGCGGTGTTTCTCAAGGCGCGGCGCGGCGAACGAGTGGTGAGCTGAAGACGCCTCTTGCTCGCTGGACGGTCTTCAGCCAGTGTGAACTTAAAGCTGAACCTGAAGGTCCTCAATACTGACTGCACTGGTTTTTTTCAAGACCAGATGGCACTACCCCAAGATGTCTTAGACAGATTGGAGTGTGGTTCAACCATTCAAGCACGGGGGGTTGTGCCATTTAGGACTCCATCCACTCTAGTGACCAGTGCTTTTGGTTTAGAAGGACCGTGTTACTAAACCGCGCAAGACAATGCAAGGCGACAGTCCAACTCACTAACATGGAAATGGAAGATTGTCCCTCGGAAGACGACCTTCCTTTACAATCAAGGGGTAGTGAACTCCACTTCCATGTTTTTGAGGCGGAGTGTCAGGCCGAAAAGCCAAGGACTGGGCGTTTTACCGCCCGGATCAAAAGATGGAACTGGTGATGATCCGGACCATCTCCCGGCCATGTTGATCTGATTCTCCCTGTTGGAAGGGTGCGGAAATTTTGTTTGTGACCAGCTCCATCAAATCCCATTTCCAATGTGGTCTGTGGTTGTGCCATGTTTGCGGGCAGCTGAGCTGGCGTGATGAAGCGCTTGCTGTAATTGCTAGTGTCCGAGCAATTCCATTGGACTTGAACTTGTTTTTGTGTCACATTGTGCTGAATTTACTGGACCTATTCACGTACTATCATACTGAGTCTTTCAGTCTCTAGTACCTACTATAGCCAACGAACCGTGAATGACACCAATGATATATACATATATATCTATCTTTATTTAACATTCATTGGTGAGTTTTAGAGAGAATCCCCATGATCCCCCAAGTGCGCAACCAATGTGCTGAACTGTGTTTTTTGGCTTTCACTTGCCTCAGTTGTGAAATGTTCCATGCCCAGATGTTGAGCCTGCTTCCATGTGCAACTGCCACCAGTTGTTGTATAGATGTGTATTGGTGATGCACATATATATATATATATACATACACACACACACACACATATATATATATATATATAATCAAATTATATATATATATAGCCATCTGAACGGGGCATGATGCGATGCCCTGCCCCGACCTGCCATTTAGTTAGTCATTTGCAGCGTTTGTTTCTACCGTTGCTCCGAGCTCCTGCGGGCGATATCCTGCACCGGACGGCTCACGACGGCGCACGAGGACACACTGGATGCAGCCAACAACGATGCAGAAAACATGATGATCGAGTCGCAGCTGCAGAAGAAGGAGCCCCCCTACCCCCTCGCGTTTGCGCGATTTTTTTGCTTTGTGCGCAGGTGCGGTCGATGTGCGATGTTGTTAAAAACAGGTTTTCCATGTTGCTTCCTGACCAAAGTCAGGAGACAAGGCACTTGCTAGTCATGGCAACCCAATTTCGTCCAGAGTGAGGAGTTCTTTTGGTTCTCTGCCCAGCAGGGCTGCAAGGTCTCGAGATGTCTCGAGGTGCATCACGGAGATGTCTTGAAGGACGTAGTGCATCGGATCACACCCACGCCCTTTCGGCCCTGTTGTGTGAGGCCCGGCCATTTCAGCTGCCAGGAGTTGAGGATTCGTTAGAGCTCTAGTGAAACCTACTGGTACGTCATTGGTCCTTGTCCTCTGAATGCCACCCGCGTAGAGCATGGACCGCACAAGTACCTGAACCTTCCGACCTTCCAACAGGTGTGTCCCAACAGTTTTAGGACCCCTACTGGGGCTCCTGTCGGGGTCCTAAAACCACCTGACCATCCGACCCGGTCGCAGGGTCTGGGCGGGTCCGATCGATCCGATCGGGTCCAGGAGTACATCAAGCGCCTCGAGAGTGTCTTCCGTGCACTGGACGAGCACCTTTGCTTTGGAACCAACTGCCAAGTCTCCACAGAAAGCACCTGTTTCAATGTGAGCGTTCCAGCTTGGCTAGGCAAGGCTCGTGGCCGAACGTTTGAAGGGTTCCCTTTGGAGGATATCTATTCAACATAGGGAAGTGCTCTCCCACCAACACCTCACATGGATCTGGAGTGGAAAACTGTTCATTCAGAGCGGTCTTCCCTTACCCATGTTGCTGAGTCTTCCGAGTGTAGGTAGAAAGTTGGACCAAGTCGGCTGGAAAGCCTGCGGGTTTTCCCAGCACCGAGCCAGCGCCGGGCAGTGATAAATAGGCCCAAGCGTCCTCCAAAGATTCCCTAGGTCGGCAGCTTCCTACAACGGCAGCAGCCCTTCATCCATGGAGTTGGGCCAGATAAAATTTCTAGAGGAAGTGCGCTTTCTCCAAGAAAGATATGTTTACCCAGGAATCCCAGAATTGGTTTAAAGTTCAAAGGAGAAAAAGAACAACAACCTACAGGAAACCCTTAGATATGGGCCATGGGGTTCAAACCATGGTGTCCTGTAGATTTTCCCTTAAACCAATCCATTGAAGGAAGTGTACCAAGACCAAGAAAGCTGAGCCCGTGCAGTGCAGCCCCGGCTCGAGGCATGGAGATGGGATGATCACGCAGGAGCGGCTGCAGCAGATGCTGCAGAATCCCAAGGCGGGACGGTTGAAGGAACAACTGGAAAAAGCCAGGTGACTGTGGCTCCACCATCCACACACCTGTTCTAGAATGAAACATAAATATGACAACATCTTATATATATATATATATATATCTAGTACATTTTTGCTAACCAGCACATCCCAGTGTTCGCTGCATATGCAGGTTTCACTGTGTACTGGAGTGGAACCACTGAAGTACAGTTCTGTGCGATGCAACGTACTGAGACATACCGAAACGTACTGAGTCACGTAGGGTTTCAAGAGACTGAAGAGAGAGGGTAGCTTCCAGGGACGTCCCAATACAGTCTTCGGAAAACTATATACGCAAGACACGCTCCAAAGAACGACATGTTTCGTGCCTTTTCTGTGGTGTTTGCCAGCTAGGTCCAAGCCTACTTTCGCACTCTCGATGTGGACGTGCCGCTAGGCAGAGAAACAGCAATCAGTTCCAGTGCCGGGGTGCCATGTCCCCTTATTTGTCCTTTTGCAAAGGGTTTTTTGACACACCAACCAAAAACACGTTTCCTCAATTGTGTAGTAGTTCAAAACAGCTTAATCGCAGACCCCTTTCTTAATTACAAGTCTACAACTGGGGTGGGACTGGATACGGCCAGTGTACACTGAAACCCTTCTGCAACATCACTGGCCCTGGTTCTTTGATGTTCAATTTGTATTGGAGGTGGATGATCTTCGCTTAAGTGTGAACCGTTGCAGTGCTTGGGTTGGGCGGGCTTTAGGCCTGTGGCCCTTTTGTTTCTCCCGCACTTGGGAGCGTGAAGCGCGATAGTTGTGTTTGTTTGGCCCAAGTGCTTGGGATGGATGTGGCAGCAGTCAGACACGTGCTGCCTGGTTGCTGCCCTGCGTTGATTCATGCGGTGACACGAGCCTGTGTGTCAGAAGAGCACTGTTGTTGCTAGTCGAGTTGTGCGCGGGCACTTTGTGAAGAGTATCTACACTGCAGGTTGCTACTGCCATGGCCCTGGTATTGCTACTTTTCCGGTTTACACGGACAGTTCGTGGATCGCCGTTGCGGCACATCCAAGGACGGAAACTTCCGCACTCTTTCATCTTCTTGATGATGGAGATGGCCAGGCACGAAATGGGGTCTATCATTTGTTCAATAAGTGACGCGTCTCGGACATGGGCTGCAGCATGGCCAAAATTTGCCAGCAGTTTACTGATTGTTTTGGCCTTTTTTTGAGGTCACTCTTGATGAATTCATTGACGGCATCCTCAAGTGTAAGGGCCCTGCGCGCGCCATTGACCAGGCAGGCATGTGACAATGTGTTCGGTTGAGTGCACGCGGTGTGTGCCAGGTTAACGATGCAAGGGCCAAGTTCAAACAGGTTTTAAGCTATGCAACTTCATTGTTCCCACACGATGTGCTGGGCAAAATACCGAAATGTCGAGAAAATATTGTCCAGTTTTGTCAATGTACCGCGGTGACATCCTCAGGTGGCCATGCATTCTGACCTGAAACAATTGGATCGGAAAATATCAAAGGCTGGGGTGCACATGGCAGGGACACTGGGATCCGGGAATGCATTTCGTCATATTTATCGGGCTGTGTGAATTGGTTCGTGACAGGCCCGCACCAACTTGAGATGGTGAATTATTTGTTTACTGCGGTATGATTATGCGTGTTTTAGCCTTTGATTTGAATTGTATATAACCAATTTCGGTTGGTTTTTAAATCCCCATATACAGGGACAGGTCTGACATGCGCACATGTGATAACACACTGTGGCCCCAGTGGGTTGGTTTTTGTCCATTGAGATGTCCATTGTGGTGCGGCACACCGAATGACCGGGCATTCCATGCTTGGCATGTTTACACCATCCGTGATATATTACGTATATGTGTATACATTGAGGTGGTTTTGGCTGGGGGTCATAGGTATGCATATAGGTGCATCTTCCATCCATGGAGTTTGCCGGTCACAAATCAAGGGGCAAGGTCTCTTCGGTAAGTTTGTCAAGGACAATGATTTTGGCGGACATTTTTGGACATTTTTGGAGTTGTTGCTGGCTCCAATCGGCTCAAACACTTGTTTTCCAGTAGGTGCATGTATGTGCCTAGGGCCTAGGTTTGGTCCACCTTGAAGGAGAAATTATGTATTTTTAGGAGCTACACAGGCAGTCAGTGACATGGCTTTAAGATGCGTCTTCGGAGGTGGTTAGTTCTTTGAAAGAACCTTCTACAGCACACGGACGACCAAACGGCCTTGAATTCACCAGATTTCACCAGGGTCATTGCCGGTTTGGTGACGGCGGTGGGCGACACGGGAACATCCACTCCAAGCCTCGCAGGTCTTGAGGGCCTTGCGAGCTTCCAAGCCTTCGAAGAAGGACGGCGATTTCGAGGCACCTGGGCGGGCAGGCGGAGGCCAGGAGTGGGCGGCCATGGCAGCCCACCCCCAGCTGTTGGGGAAGGGATCTGGTTGCTTAAATGATCTTATATAGAGACAGGGCCAATCTTGGTGGCTCAGCCCAAGATTGAGGAGATTGAGGTCCAAAACCCCAAGGCCCTTCCGCACCCTTTTTCGGTCAAGAACGGGTCTTGTCCTACCCAACTGGGGTAAATTTTCCTTAGGTTTCCCATCAGTGAATCCCCTTCTGGGGATGTTGTGCTTGGTCCCCGGCATGCAGCTCCAGCACATCCAACCCATACCCAGCACATCGGCTCCAGGCACAAGTGATGAGAGAGAAGAGCCATGCGGAAAACCTGAGAGTCTTCAGGACCCGAATGCTGTTCCCGGCGTGGCGTGCGTGCGTGGAACTATATAGTTGAGGACAGATCAGGAGAGTATCACATCATTTTGATATACAAAAGAAACATCATCAAGCTTCCTGCAGCTGTTGACCTACAAGTTGTTGTTGTTGTTGTTGGTGGTGGTGGTGGTGGTGGTGGTGGCGGGGGTGGTTGGTGGCGGCGGCGGCGGCGTGGTGGTGCTGGTGCTGGTGCTGGTGCTGGTGCTGGTGCTGGTGGTCGTGGTGGTTCTTCTTCTTCTTCTTGTTCAACACCCGCATAAAAGATAGAGCTCCCTGCCTGGTGCAGCCCGCCAACCCCAGGATGGCGGGCAGCTTCAAACGGATGGTCACTGACTGAGTGAGTCACTGATGGGGCCTTGTGGGACCGGCCCCGTGAGGCAGCTGGCCTTTGGCCTGTCGAAGGTTTCGGTGTTGTTGGCGGGTCTTTGCAGCTGGAGGCCGCTGAAGTAGCGATTTCAAGAAGGATTTGTCGATGATGTTTGACGGATTTGTGAATCTTTGGAGTTCTTTGGGCTCCAACTATCCCTTGGAGAAAAAAAGTGAATGTTTTAAGATGGTTTGGAGGGTCTAAGCACCATTTGAAGGAGGCACCTGCAGCTCTAGAATCATTGATGGCGATGGTAAAGTTTCTTGGGCAACAAGAAGCTACTATAGGGGTTCCTGGCCCTACAGACTAGGAGCGATCGGACGCAAGGAAAAGGGGCTCCTGGCATCGCTACGAACGGAGCATTACTACTAGTGACAAGAAGCTATTGGGAACTGTTGCGATTGTGTCGTCAAGACGAATTGAGCTCAAGCTCAGTTGCGCTTTGCGTGTTAGGCTACTGTGGACAGTGCTGTGCCGACCGTTCGCCACATCACCTCTTTTTGTAAAAATCCGGCCAAGCCGAGACGTGCTGCCCTGCAAGTTAACATGGAACACATACACCAAAAGCCACACAGTCGTCCACAGGGTCGGTCTTCGGAAAATGGTCGAAAAACCGCGGTGAATTACCAAGTTCCATGGTGAATTTGGGGGGCATCATAGCCGCCGGTCGTCTTTACATCCCGGCAGAGATCGATGGATCGCAATGATCGATTCTCGCGAACTATCCCTGAACTTCTGGGGCCCTCGAGTTGCAGACCAAGTGCTGAGTGTCACCGGTTCTGGCCAGTCAGTCGACCACCTAACTGTAATTTGGTTTCCCCACAGGAGCAGGTGGAACAAGCTTACAACTGGTCAAAGATGGTTTCCAGGAAAACTGAGGCAGGGTTAGCAGCGGTTCTCGCTGCTATTCTTGGACATACAGCTTGAGGAGGCTGATCTGAGATTGGTCCAGAATGAGGTACTCCAAAGGCATCCAATAAAACCACACCTATAGGGGCCCGCAATTAGGCGATTTGTCTTGTACCCCAAAACAGGTTGGAAGAAGAGAGAAGATAAAAGAACATCCAAGAACTAAACACTTTCTTGAATGGAGCTTGGTTCTTTCCATTTCTTTCCTATAGAATTGAGGTATGTTCCTCTAACTCAGCACCTGGGCAGTTTCACTCATAGCTCCACTGCTGTGCAGGCCACACGGCGCATGGAATGCCCCCTAACAGGGCGCCACGCGCACAACGCAAGTGGCAGACGCTATGACCATCTTTTCCACCTCTGGGTGTTTCTCACTGGTTGGATAGGGAGATGATATTGAGATGGTGGATTTGAGGCATTCCACTTATAGTGAGGAAGCAGGCTTTCGAGGTCTATGGCTCTAGTTTTGGGAGCCACTAGGAGCCACTAATTACCTACTGTAATCATCTATATTAGAATCTATATTGTCCATAGTGGTAACTGGATCCACTGGGAGTGACAGTAGGTGAAGCATCAAGATGCCGGCGTGAAGAAAACGGGGGTCGTCAGAAAATGGTCCAGCTCGGTCTGCCAAAAACGCACCGGTCCAGCAGATCCACTCCTCTCGTCATGCAGATCCATCACGCTCCATCAGATCCACTCCTCGGAGTGGGTGTTCCAAGCTGCTCAGGAATACACATAGCCGCTTAGCCGCTCATTCACATGAAGCCAATGACAGACCCAATCTTCAGAGCATAACTGGCAGATTACCTATAGCATCCTATATAGCTGCTTGAGATCTTTGTGGCACACCAAGTTTTTATCGCCTTCATCAAGGAAGGACAACCGGGACAGTGGAGAGCATGGGCCCCGGTCGCTTCCAGAAAGAGTCCTTCGCATGACGCCGGCTCCACATGTCCGAGACGTTTGGGTTGCCTCGTCCGTCTTCAGTTCTCCGCTAGAGAACTGCGTCCATCCCAAGTGCGAACGGCGAAGTCACGAGGGGGCTCCCTGGGTTCATTCGCCTTGAGTCCCACAAATCCCAGTCGAAACACCCTCTCCCCGAGCGAATCGCGAAGCTCGGCGAAGCTCAGCGCCAGCCCGGCCGGCGCGCCGTAGCAAAAAGGGGGCGGGGGGGGGCGGTGCTGGCCGGGGTGTGGTGCGGGTGCCGGGGGTTCGAGTGGCGCATCATCGACTCGCATGAAGCAAAGCACTCACTCTTGAGGCCGAACGGGCACCAAACACACACTGGAAATTCCACTTTTTTTGTGATCCCAAAGCCGGAAAACCAAGAACGATGCAGAAGTAGATAAGACCAACATTTTGACCTCATATCCCAAACCACCGATGGGAGTGGAATATACGTATGCAACATTATGCAACTATATTTCATACATGGATGGTATGGGTATTTTTGTTTTTGTTGATGGTGAGACCGCGACTGCGAGATCTGAACAACCTCCTCTCAGGTATCGCCACCGACTGGCCGATCATTTTGTGAGGCTTAGTCGAATCGCATGAGGTTCATATTTCAAAGCGAGGGAGGCGCCTTTTGGCTTTTGGGTGCCCCCTCTCAGGCTTGGAAAACTCTGCCTGTGCCACTTTTCTTTGTGAGATGCGGAACTGTTCTTGTTTCGGAATTTTTCCGTTGCAACAACGTGTTTTGGATCATTCAAGTTTGCCTTGGGCAGATGGCACCATGCCTAAGCTTCCACAGTGTCTTTGGCCGACGCGCTCCGCGCGCATGGTTGCTCGTCAATCTAGCATTTGATCGGTGTCTTCTTTGTCGCATCATTTTGACATGGAACGCTTCGGCCTAGCGCTGAATGCTTGTACTACCATGCCCGATCAATTTCCTGTGAGCCTGCATTTTGCGACACATGATGCTTTTGTGAAAGTCTTTGGTTGGAATGTGCCCAGACTCGGGCCATTCTCCGCTGGTCAAACCGCATCCTGGGCTTCGTCAGGGCAGATCGGATTTCGGATTTCCGAGAAACTGCAAACTTCACCCTCTTTTTGTACATGCCCCGTGTGAGGTTGCAGAGACGTTCAGTGAAGTCTTGCTTGGACTGAGTCGGAAAAAAGGAGACCGCAGCCCTGGAAGGCATCCAACACTGTTGTCACAAAGCTTTAGGGTTGTTCGACGCTAAATTCGCCACAAATGGATTGGAAAGGTGCGGGATGGTATACGGGGTTGAGGGGCAACACTGAAGAACATGTGGTGCGATGACTTCTGCATCTTTTGTGGTGTAAAAACCCAGTCGGGTGTCCATCTCACAGGTCATAGTCCTCGGACCTGTCATTTAGCCAGTTGCCGTCGGATCGTGTGCTAGCACATTAGGCACGTGGTTTCGGAGGAGATGGCGTTTGAGCCCCAAAACTCTTCAGAAGACACCTTCTTGGAGACGTTTCCATTGTATCTGGCTTCTGGTTGCGCCATGTGGTAGCTCTGTTTGTTTGGGGCGTGACATGACAGGTTACAACATGATATGTTGCAAGCAAGCGTGTCACACACGCATTCTGTGCATTCGTCCAACACCGTCGCCCCGCATCGTCAGATCCACTCCGACCAGGCCCGCGATGGACGGCGAGGCCGCTCTCGACGCCGCCGCCGCGCAGAAAATGGCCGTGCAGTCCGAGCAGCTGGGAGTGGATCCTTGGACAGATGCCATGAGGATCAGTTCCCAGGCCCTCTAGGCTAGGCTTAAGAATTCGGCGGATGCCTTGAATCTCTTTCCCTACCGGACTGGAGTTGGAATCATTACAGGCTTTTAGGGACCATGGCCGCTGTTCGGTCAGGGTCCAAGTCCATGTCGTTGTTTCCCCTAGACTTCCAAGACCATTACATAGTTGACCTGGTGATACCTGGTGTTTGTAGTGTAAAATCCTTAGTTGATTCGGTAAAGCCTATTCAATTAATGGCAGGCCAGGAAGATCCAGGAAGCCTAGGGTTTCTTTTTAAGGTTGGGAGTTGCAGGCAAGTTCCCCAATCCCGTCCAAGCCCAGACACGGTGCAAGATGTGCCGATCAGTTGACCTCCTATCAATTTCCTGGCCTGCAATTATAGGCCAAGATGGCAATCCCCGCCTTTGGGATCGAAGATCTTTCAGTCCTCGCTAGTGTATAGGCATATGGTAGGCATATGGTAGGCATATGGAATCTTCCAGGTCCCAGATGACGGTCTTTGAGCCACTTGCAGTCCTTCAGATCTTTCAGCTCCTTCAGCCACGAACCATCAGCACCATCCATGCAGATCCTTGGTGCGCCGCACCACCCGCCCGCTCTTCCAGCGGCTCCCGCGCTTCCGGGTTCGGCAGGAGCTCTTGGGCTTTCTCCACCGGTGGCAGCTGAAAGGCGTCACGTCCGGGGTCCGGAGAAGCGCCGGCGCGGGCGCGGCGCCACGGCGGCGTCGGTGTGGGGATGTACAGAGTAAGCGAGGCAGCACAGTGGGGTAGTCACAGTCCCTGAGATCCCTGAGGTAGATCCCTGAGGTCCTTTCCTCTCACGTCGAAGGCTCCTTGGGCAGATGGATTGAGTGACTGTTCTTATTCCAGGATTTTGCAGCAAATTCAAGTGATTCTGCATGGTGCAAGAACTGGGTGAATCCCTGATTCAGCAAATCCAGGTCTTGAAAGTCTTGAGTCTTGAGTGCGCGTCTCATTGGTTGGTGTTTTCCCTTGGTTGAGGTTGGTGGATGGGGACCTGCAACGTGCGACGTTCGATGCATACATGCAGACTCTTGAGGAAGGAACACCATAAATTGAAGAGCTAGCGCGATCCATGTCTGGTTGGCTTTGTTCATCAAAAGTCTGCACAAGAGCCCAGAAGTTTGGGAAGCCAGCGCAAAAGCTGGAGCAGAAGCTGGATCCGTCGGACCTCCAAAACAACCCATGGCACACCAACCGACCCCTCCGACCGACTTGCCGACCCCGGGCCAACTCTGTTGCCTCAGGTCACAGACCCTGAAGGCTTTGCCACCGGAGCAGCTGAAGCAAGTACTCATCGGGCTCCTGGGACGCGAG